ATTTAACATAACTGTAAAAATTGGTATCTGATTACTAAAATAATATCTTTATATTCATAAATATAAAGAATATAATGGCAGGGCTACGTCATACAAAGTTAGTAATTAGTTGCTTCTGAAGAATAATATATTACTCAATAGATAACCATTACAACAAGGATATACATGCAGTATATCATGCTATTGATTAGCCATCTTTAAAGGATTAATTGCACATGTAAAAAAAGTTAATTAAACAAATGGTAGGTACTTAATCTTTGTCACCTTGTATACTATCAGCACTAAACTTTTAACCCTTGTGAAGTATAAATGTTTAGCAGACTTTTTTTATTATTTTTGTGAAGATCGTCAGAAAATGGAGGAAATATTCCAAGTTCCAAATATATAATTATGTAGTACATGCATCATTTGGGACTTTAAGTAGAATTTTTGACCAGTAGTTCTGAACATTTTTTTGCAGCAAACATATGTTCCTTTGGGAGAGTTAAATTGATTTTAATTGTAAAGGCTGTCTCATACGGTTAACCAAAGAAAACCAAAGTGAACAAAGGTCTGGTCACCTCTTTATGAGAAGACCGTTAGCAATATTACTACAATTTAAAACAGTAAAAGAGGAGAAAAGGCTAAGAAATATGATTGGCTACCCGTGCCAGACATACAGTAAACACAACCACATACTGTAGAAGCTGGAAGGCAGAGACACAGACACATCCAAAGTGTCACACAAAGGAGAGAAAAAAGATTACCAAAACAACCCCAAAATTATTTCCAAATATTTAAATAGACACTTCATCTCTTGAAGATGCCTCATTAACACCGACCCATGCTGTGTTGTTTTGAAAGCTCGTTGGTCATCAAAGAAGAACGCCTACTTGTAATTCACAACCTGACTGAGGGATGTTACTCTGACAGGTGTGTATATTGTGAAATGATGTGAACCACCATTATTGCACACAGACAGAGGTCACTTAAGTAAGTATGTGGCTCATTACATCACTTTTTGGTCACCTACTGTAAATAAATTTAGGCTTGCCACTGCAAAGGATTTGAATAATTCTGCAATATTGATCTTCTTTCATATTAGGCAAGTTACTTGTTTTTGTTTTTTGCTTTGACTGTTAAAAAATTAAGTGCTACTTCAAAGTATGACTGCAAGCTTTAAAGTAATAAAAGGCAAAAAGCTATGGAATCGTCCGAATATGTTTGCAAGGCACTGTATTTTAATTACTATCGAGTTTCAAAACAGTATGCAAGCTCACCAGTCTTTGTTAATGTTAACCTGCACTGTGGGGATACATACCCAACATTTACATACATACTGTACACTTACTATGATGTCCATGAAATATATGCATGACACCACAGCAAAGAACATTATCCCTCTTTGCAAATCGAGTTTACAATAAAAATCACATTTCTCTTGTCAAGGCCAGCAGAAGTATTTGGAACACAACTGTCAAGTAAAATAATTAAATATGTACTTAAGATCTGAATTCAATTCTGAAAAGTCAAATGGTTTTACTTGTATTTAAGTGATATTTTATTTTTAAAAAGTAGATATATTTTCTTGCTTTAAGATAAAAGAATTATTCATTTTTGCACACTGCAGAAATTCTCGTCTTTGACCCATATAATCCTAAATATGAATATTATATATAGAAATTGATCACCAATCATTTGCATTTAAAAATATGCCAAATCTCATGTTATACCATTCAAGGGTATAACATTAAACAGTAAACAATTATTATTTCCTTACCAGATGCTCATATGCAGGGAAATAAACAAATTATACAATAAATTATAAAATTAGAGGCAAAAGAAAACACTTTTACTGTATTTTAAAAAAATATATAAAAAATGAATGACGAGAAACACAAAGGCTTGGAAGTGCAATGTCTGTACAGTGCAGAACGGAGTGAAAACAATATCAATTGAGTAGTAAACAATGTGTAGGCAGGAATCATTGATCACAGTATAGACAGAATGCCACTGAGTACTGTGCGTAATAAACTGGCATTACATGATCTCTCTTGCAGACATCAAATGGAACTGTTGTTGGGCTTGAATGAGTATCACATTAGCTGATTAACTGATCTCCTCTCGTAATCCGTTAGCCTGTTCAAACATAATCAAAGAAACTGTTGATCCTAGAAAATAAATGGACGATGCCAGCTGGTAATTTGTTTTGAATCACTGTATGTGTGTTCTTACTGTTTTATGGATTATTAATGGGAAATTAGGTCATCTCAACACTTTATTCAGAACTCTAGCCTTCACCTATGTCTGCAAATTTGTTCAATTGTTCCAAGTATACAATACATGGCCCTACTGCCCAATTCAAAGAGCAAAATTGCAACTTGTATGCTGTACAGTACATACAAGATTTAATATAACAGAAAAAAAAAACTGTTTATGCATAATTAACTTTTTCTAGGCTTAAAACATTTTTTCATCATAGTGCATGAATTTTAAAATGATCCACGGGTTATCCTAAAGTGATCTTTAGAACAGTAAACATCTTCAAAATCACTCTTACCTACCAGTCATTGCTCATCATGCTCATTCCCCCAGTTATATTCACCATTAAAACCCAATAGGTAAGAAGGAATATCCCCCCTTATAAGCCCATTAAACTGATTGTTCTAACAAGACTCAGCAAAAGGATTGCACGTGTTACACTTATTCAAAATGTAGCTGCAATCCAAGATGTAAAAAACTCAATACCTGACAATTCTAAATATTTGTAAAGAAAAAATCAGTAGTTGAATAGGGTGAACTTCAGAACTTTGAGAAACTTGAAACATATCTTTTAAATTCATAATGCATAGATCACATCAAATCCCTCAGAAAAAAATAAATAATTTCTTGGTTCAATTTCATGATAATCATAGCATTTGTTTTAAATAGCTATGATATTTTTCATTACAGACTAACAAAACTGAAATGTATATTTACAAAAGAATAAAAAAATAACTGTAAACCATTTTTGACTAGTAGTAGTAATAGCAAAGGTCTGTTAGTTATTATGCTTTTCTTCCTATGATAATTCAATGTTCTCAAAGTTTCTTCAAAGTTCTTTCTCACACATTTTTCAGAAAAAACACCACATTCTACATATTTTCCAACAGATGCATCTTCCTTTCAATAGTATGTGCTGCATTGAAGTACTATTTTTAGTGAGACTGCACCCTCAACATAAATACTAAGACTTTGAGCAAAAAATACACATATGTACATTAAGAAAGTACACACAATAAGTCTACGTATTTCTAGTACAAAATACAAGAAATTGACAAGTAATATAAAATAATACAAAATACAGAATAAGGCCATTATGTACAATATTATGTAAATTATACTTTTAATAGGCTAGATTAAAGGTAGCAGAAGTAAGCCAGAGAACAGATATATCAGATATGTGAATCTAAGATATGTAGAAAGGGCAGAGTATCATTCTTGTACACAGACAGTTCTGAATGAAGAACATGTACTGTATATGTATTACAGCTGTATGTACGTTCTCAGAAATGTAATGTGCTTAAACATAATATTTACAAGCACCTAACATTATTATTCAATTCACGGAAACACATTTCAACCATTCAATCAGTGTCAAATAACGTTGATTTGGAAAAACATACTTTTTTCAATTAAATTCAATTCCTGTTGGCATTTTCAGCTACTGGACATACTGTACATTTACTCACTGCTCTAAACTGTGGAATAACCCATTGACAGCTGTCAGTATATTTTTGAGTAAAAAAAGCTGGTGATAAGTATCAGGAGCAGAAGCACAGTATTAATTACTTTAAAATGTGGTGATTTTTATCTGTGTATGTGACCATTTCTGGACATTAGATAAATCTATTCATTACCTCTTGAAATGCATACAATCCCATTTCATATAATTACAGTATCACTGCACACGGACTGAAGTATTCTGGGTTCCATATAAGAACATAACATAACCATTCTTCACTGTTAAATTCAGACTCCCAACGCATCTCCATGACAGTCAAGCGACATAAAGAAAACAGTGTGGTGATCCAGAAATTATTATCTTTCTTAAACTAGTACATCTGTAGAATTTTCTGAAAACTTATTATAAGTAATACGTTAAAAACGTAAACGTTCTAATTAAGATATTTAAATATAAGATGTGTGTTATTTAAACAGAACACTAACTCAATGTTGTATTTTTAGAGGTAAATCTAGTAGAACTGGGTGTTTTGTAACTAGCTCTCCAATTAAGTAAAAAATGAACGATAAAATGTTGCGAAAAATCCAAAAGCTTTCTTGGGGTGTTTCCCAAATACTGGTCACAAACCACAACTGTGATACCTAAAACGATAAAGCCCTTAACAAGTTACATATATAAAGGCCAGATTTAAACACAATACAAAATTTTGCCAGACTATTTTAAACTACTTTTCTTTTGGATACCATATTCACACTATTATTTGTTAATTGAAAAAATCACGTTATAATTAACAGGTTCGAGGACTTCATGTTACAGACTTAGCTTTTGGGGACAGGTAATCCTTCAATCAAAAATACATTATTATATTATCCTGATAATATACCGTCGTAGATAACATCCTTTATGAGCTGGAATGAGACACAGCATGGATTTAACATTACAGACCATATGTCCAACACATTCCCCAGCATTTCACTTTTTATCTTCAGACAAGCATGTCCGCGGAAAGGGTTAATTAACATTCCTTTATACCACGTTTTAGTGTTTTCCTGTTAAAAATAACATCGATAGAAAAGTAACAATTAAACTAATACAAATTAAATTAAGTGCAAAATGAATCAGAAACTGGATACGATGGCAAAAATGTTACTGATCTCAGTTTGCATCGTGGTCAGATTACGTGCCGAGATTTACATATACTGTAGATATTTTTAAGTATCGCACGTTTTCCTTGCAAACCACGCAATAATACCTTCAAAGCCAGCGATATAAAAAGCAGTGCTGATTCATTACTTACCAACAAGCGATTCATTACATGGTGCACAGTTGTGTTATATCCCACAATCTTAACAACAAGGCTAGCATCTCCACATGCTTTTCATTCCCCAACCAAAATAGTCACAACAGCTAGAAAACACGCCTTCCTTTCAAGTCAGCTGTAAAATACAGCATCCTCTCCAGCTGAGCTTAACCAGTGTTCACATTCTATGTTCTACTGAAATGATGTCATGCTGTAGAGTTGCTGTCCTCAAAGACTGGAATAATCAATTGCAGAGGCGGTGATAGCATACCTTCTTAGTAAGGAATAAGAAGCAAATGAAACGAACTATGTCAAATAAATGTATCACTTGTGTAAAACTAATATTTAATCCAAGTTTGTAAGACCATTATCAAGAACTGAAAAACCAATAAAAGTAATAAAACTGTCAACTTATTAAGAAAATCTATCGTTAGCACTATCAGTATCTGCACTGACAGCGGGATGTTCGTACTATTCGCATTATTTATATTGAAATTGAAGGTAGTAAGTGCAATTTACACAGAGTAGGAGCTACTCTATATGTGTTAAAATACAGTACTTTCAAATTAGGAATCTGAATATATTAAAATCGATTAAGTGCCTTATAAGATACTACTGTAAATCCTTCTATTAGTAGAAATTTAACAGAAGCCATGCATTAGCGACAAGATGGGCAGAGCAAGCCTTAACCCAGCGTTTTCAGGCTGGTCGAAGATACAGTACCCCTGTCACAGTCCTAACATGCAGCTTCCATCAAAAGTTTGGTGTCAAGCCAGCACCGTCAACAATATAAATGAAGTCACCAACACCGCAATAGATTTTATGAGTATATATTCAGTCCTGTCACCATACTGTTTAGTTTAATAAAGTGTTGTTACATCCGTATCTAAAAATCAGGCCTGTTAAATGCAAAAACTGCAGTAGTATCTACAGTATGAGATTTGATTTGCAAGTAAATAATGAGCGCATGAGGAGAGAAGTGAAACTCAGACCCATCATGCCAAATAATCTGATGGAGATCATGGCCATCAATGGGGAAGAAGCTTAAAAAAATTGTAAAGTACGTAAACAAGAAAGGGAACTTTTTTAACAACAGTACTTCTAAATATCTTCCCACCTTCTTCAGGTGTCTTCCCACTTGAAGAAGGCTCCACAGCCAAAACATTGTGTTTTCTTTCTTTTCTTTTCAGCATGCAATTAACCTATTACTTGTTCCTTTGCAGCCTACGCATGCTGACGCAGCTACCCGCCTGATCTACTTCTAAATATCTTTATTGGTAAAGAGACACACAGAAAAACAAATCACATAATTGAAAAGTACACTACAAGCAATAATGTAATAAATGATGTTTCAAAGTCCCAGGATTAAGGTATACATCAGAAATTATTTCATATTTCTTAAACATTTACAATTTAAGATATAGTTGAAATTCCTTGTACAGTATTTCAACTAGTGCATCCACAGATAAGGAACCACCTTTATGTCAATACATTTCTTTGAGGAGACTTTGATTTCCTTAGAAACAAAGCATCATGCAAATTAAGTGAAGTGCTTAGATTGATCAAGAACAGCCCCCTGAAGTCTGGTTTGCAAGAATGCAAGATCATTATCACAAGAAAGTTATTCACAGGATAATTATCACAAATGGTGACCCCTAAATGCATTGATTGCTTTTAAAAGCTAGCTTTTTAGCTGACTTGGCACTTTTGGGGGTGCTAGGACCCTTTTTATCCCACAACAGTTCATAATATCTCCCAGCAGCAGACATTAGTATTGTATAAGCAGTTACCCATTTTATTCAATCGTCAATCTAACTGCCTACCCAATACACACAACACATAGCACAAGCACAATCACAACAGCCACTTACTCACAGAAACTTACAAGTACCCCATGGACCCCAGTTACCAACACCTAAATGTCCCAAAGGAGCATTCCAGTTTTATGAAACCAGCTCTAGTCTGTGTCCTGATGTGCCTCTTTCTTCCTCAGCGAAGAAACAAGAAACTGTGTAGCTTTAGGCATCCTCCTAAGTCCCAGCCATGCTGAACACTGTGGTCCCTTATGCGTTGCCCCCTACCACCATCTTTTCTCCAACTTCAGCTTCAGGTCTGGGGGATGACTGAGCCCTGCTCAGGGCTCATTGATCAACAGGCTGCATGCAGATAGCCAGGTATAATGATATTCACAGCCTGTTCTATAGCCCATTCTCAGTCTGAGGTCCGTTTAGATATGTCTTGCAAGAACGCATCACTTCTGAGCTGTGTGATAACTAGAAAGTGCACAAACAAGGAGGACTTCGATCAATGGGAAGCTCGAGAACAAGAAAAGATGAATACACCACCCTTAGAGAGACACTGGCCATTCTATGCAAATTTAAAGTCAGCATAGTCCCCGCCACCTGGTACCTCACACCCTTTTTTCCACCCACTCTTTGGCATACAGTAATTTCACTGGAAAGCTGAGACTGAGAGATGGTATCGTTAGGTATTGGTTATATAATATTGCAAATACTGTTTTCATTTTTAAAAACATGGATTTGGTGTTGGTGGACCAGTATGTTGCAGTTGTCACTCTGGACAAAAGCTTTGAGAGGTAGAGATTCATTTCAAAGAGGAGAAAGAGGAGAAAGTGGAAAGAGAAAGAGAGCTGGAATATAAAGCAAAACAGAAAAAAAAGTACAGCAGATGAGAAAGAATATCCAAATAGGACATGGGATGCACACTGGAGAGTTGAATTCCAGGAGACGCGTCATAAGCCACAGCTGTACTGTACTGTAAACGAATGGAGAGGTTTAAAAAATAAATCAGTCTATAGCTGAGAGCTGGTGGAAGATGTGATTTTTTTTTAGGATTTTTTTTTTCTGTTAAAAGAGGATAGGAATCCCTTTAAAAGCACATACTGTACAGGAGACAGAAATGTCAGAGTAATCCTGACCAAAATGTATGATGGAAGAAGTTGTAAATGTGAATTGTGTGAATTGGTTCTCACCTTGAAAACATTTTTTTCCAAGAATCCTTTTTTACTGCCAGGTCAGCAGAGCTATCATGAGTAACAGGATGGAAAAGAATATATGGACATCTTTGCTGGTTTGGTGCAAAAAGGTTTCTTGTCTTCTTACACTGGGTTCATTCCTGACATGTACTCTTCCAAAACTCAGTCAAGACAATACTGAGCTAAGTAATTATAGACCAATAAGTTGGATTTGTATTAAACAATGTAAGATTATGAATGAAAATATTAGAGCTAAAATAGAAGATCACCTATGTGGAAATTATATTTTAGGGAATACTCAACATGGATTTAAAAAAGGCAAATTTTCCTTAACCATCTCCAACCAGAGTTCTTCAAACAAGCAAAAACATTAATGGTTACTCAAAAAACATATGATGTTTATTTCAGAAAGCTTTTGATATAAATAAATTATAAAATATAAAGAAATAAAAGAGAGAGTACAGTTGAAGGAAGTATGCTCAAACTGGGGTGATAAATGTACAAAGAACACTACTCTTCCTAATGTATATCAATGATCTACATTAGTTAATAAATTAGTATAGTTAATAAATTATTCATTTTAGCAGATTATACTAAAATAGAACTAGAAAACACTATAGAAACTGCAAATAAAATGCAACCTAAATTTTGATCAAATTCAAGACTGGGTTAACACCTGGCAGATGATTTTTAATGTAGACAGGTGCAGGATTTTATATGCAGGTAATAAAAACATAAACTATAAATAAAAATTGTCCGACACTGAGCTAGAAAAGTCTGCTTATGAAGACATTTAGGTGTTAATGTTGTCTCACTGACAGTGTGGTAAAGCAATAAAAAGGCAAGAAAAATATTAGTAAATACTTGTCAATGTATTTCATAATACTCCACATTTCTAATGTATAAAGCTGGACTCACCTGATGCAGGAATTTGTTTGGATAAATACTAAATTGAATGTTAAACTAAAATATTCTAAAAATGGTTATTTTGTAATTATCATACAAGGGAAAAACATTTCTCATAGAACTGTGTGTGGTTCCAAAAATGTCATCATGGCACCATGTAATACCTACAGAAGTGCCAGTGTTGTAACAACTCACCAATTGATCCTCCACATTGTAACAACTCATCAATTGATCCCCAACCATGCCCCTTCTTCCGCTTTTTAAAACTTCACCCACACTGCAATGGTGCTCGGTATTAGGAGAACCTCCAAACTTGTTCTATCTCTTCAAGACTTCCCAGCTTTTTGACCATGACCTGCTCCTACTCGACCACGCTTTTTGTCTCTAGTCCTTCGAATCTGTTCGCCTCGATACACCTCGACCTCTAACCTGCATAGGGTCCTGTTTATTGCTGCTAACAATAAACATAGCACTTTAGATATGTTCTGCTGTATATCTCAAATATAAAAAAAATGATTACTATTCCATAGGAAACTGTGATGAATGGCAGCTCCTACTCATCTACGTTAGCAGTGAGCATTTCAGTAATCTGTCACTGTTGGCTTTCGTAACCACCCAAGGCTCCAAAGATGTACTGGAGGTCCCCTTCCAGTGCAGCCTCTCTTCCTCCCTGAAGTAAATTCTAAATATGGAGAAAAGTTTGAGGTATTGTTACAAATATATAAATATATTATTACAAATATATTTATGAATTTTGTACAGAAAAGCCAGTCTGGGTATAACAGCATATATCATATATACTGTAGATTGTCCTTTTAACACCTATGGTTAAGTAAATAATCAGCGCATGCTTTTAAATATTATTTTAAGATCTGTTTTTATTAGCAACAATACTGTATTTTTCATCCAAACCTATATTTGGCTTAACTTGCCAGATAGCTATGTTTTAGTAATCAGAGTTATTGAGGAACATAGTACAAGTTAATTGACAACAATTACTTCAAAACTTATCATTTTAACTAGTGGCAATATGCAGTACATTTCATGCAACACGTCGGGCCAGGAAGAGGCAAAAAGCTACCATAGCTTGTCAAAGTTTTGGGCAAAGTAGGAAAAAATGTATTTTCATATTATGTTCAGTATTTGATTGGGCATTATATAAAATACCTTGGCATTAGATGAGCTTCAGCCCCGTTTCCATTTTTCTCACCCTGCATCCATATCATGATCACATTTGCAATATCATGATTTGCCTTTTCAACATTCCCTGGCGTTAATTGTGACAGGGCTTCCCGCG